TGACATTGTGATTGACTTCAAGAGTAAGCACCCAGGTGGGCCGTACCTAAGCTTTGTTGCTACCAATGGCAGTATAAATATAAATCAACTAGATGAGTACTCCATTTGCTCCATACTCTGGGGTGAGATCGATAATTGCTGTGTGATATGGGACGCACCTCGCCATAATATCTTATCTCACGTGATAAAACGATACAGATATTGGCTCACATGACACATACATATCGGTCTATGGAAACCTATATTTATCACGTCTCTGTAAACTTAACCGTCATCGCACATCTAAATAGCACGGCTCCAGCGCGGCTCCGGAACGGCATAGTTTTGGAATTTGCCTACCGCTAACCACCAGCGCGCCGCCGGTTCGCTGTCCACGAGTCGTAAGCGCGCCGCTGGCGTGCCGTCCGATGTGGAAGCTTTTTGTAACCACAAGTATAGTCAACATTACCTACCTAAGAATCAACGTTGTTTCGCTAGCGTCTAGAGGGCGCTTCGCTGTCAACTCGCTGCGCTGTCGGCTCGCGAGCGCATCGCGGGCGCCTCGACTACACTTCGATTTTTGTGCTGACGTTACGAAATCTATCATACGACATACGATTTAAAGTTCATATTTAAATGACAACTTAATTGCTGGGTTGAAGCCGTGTTTATTAGATGTGCGATGACATATATCTATCGCTTCCATCGTATTTAAAAATGAGCTCTAGCTATTTATTTCCAATGCACCTTTTCATTGTTTTTATTTTCTGAAGAAAAGCAACATAAAGTACAACTAGATTATAATTGACTGCACGGTTGGCGCGGTGGCTGAGCCACTGGCTGGCGTCGCAATGTGTTCGGTTCGATTCCCGCACGGAACAACTCTTTGTGTGATCCACAGATTATTGTTCTGGGTCTGTGTGTCATGTGTATGTGAACTTGTATGTTTGTAAACGCACCTACAATACACGAGAATGTATATTAAATCCTAGTATCAGTCTAGTGTCATCCTAGTGTCAACGTTTAAAAAAAACCGTTGCCCGTTTTTTTAGATAATAAAAGTTAGTAACTTAAACTTAAGTTTTAGAAAGTAGCTAGCAAGTGTAAAACTGATGAGTACTTTTCATCACATCAGTGAAAATAAGGTTCCAATATTTTCTATTTTATCTTTCATATTTGACGATAATATGTTGCCAAAAAGATTATTATCGTGTCACGTAAGTACATATCCGTATGCCTACGTAATTTTATTGTTAATAGGTACCTACCTACGGCTAAATATTTTGCGATAACCACCCTGGTCGGCACGTGTCAATGTACACGTAGTTGGGTATTTTTCCAAACAAATTGTATCTATCGATCTTTCAGTACAATAAAATATTACTTTAATCGATTTGATAGAAAGAAAGAAAGAAAATACATTTATACCGCTACGACAGTACAAATACAGGACACATAACAAGCCCATGGTGCGTCGCAGCGGAATAGGCTGGAACTCAGCTTAATCCTGTGGCAGGTAACAATATTAATTTTAGTATCTTCTAACTGACTTTTAAGAAAGAAAAAATTATCTATCAAACGTCTATCTATAGAGGTATTATCTAGAAATTATTAAACCACCAAAATGTCAATGGTATACTTATGTGTGCGTGTATTTGCAACACCATAATGTATGAAGTGTAATACCGGGCAATGCCACGCGACAGATGTCTTTCGTGTCAATGTGTGGATACCGTGTGTAAGTCTATAGTAGCCAGGTCCTTCAGTCGTCGTTTCAAGAGACTATGTTAGCCTTTTTTCAACGTACTTATATGTAGATAAAAATAATAAGTACCTTAGTACCTACCTATTAATTAATTAAAACTGTGTTACCACATCAGGCATTTACTTAAAGAGTCTTTCCGGTCATGAATGTGAAGAGTGGCGTAAAGAGAGAATGAAAATATTAACCGACGAGCATGCATGAAAAGATTGATGACTGTTAATGAAGCGAAAGAGGTATGTAAGAATCGTAGTAATTGGCGTTCCTTAGTCTCTGCCTACCCCCATGGGAGACAGGCGTGAAGTTATGTATGTATGTATGTTATGTGCGGCAAAAAGTAGAAAAATACCTTTTCAAAAGTATAAAATAAATGATACTCTTTTCTGTAAGTGTGTACTCTTTATTTACCTCCTTTAAAATCAGATACAAGTACTCTATTTCTTCTAAACAAAGTTGGCAACTTTACCGGCGGCCCAATTACCGATCTCCCTATGTTCTGTGGATCTCCCCAATCCCTGAATCCCACGAATACTCAAATTCCTCATCCCCGAAAGGCCGGTAACGCACTTGTAACGCCTCTGGTATTCCAGGTGTCCATGGGCAACGCCGTTTGCTTACCATCAGGTGACCCGTCTGCTCGTTTACCGCCTTATCCAAAAAAAACAACATTTTGTCTAAAACTGCTCCAAGATCAATAGACTATCAGATAAACAGTACGAATTATAATATTATGGTAATTAAGTAATCAATACCTAATCCGTTGGCAACACGAATTATTCATACTTAGTCGGTATTCGCCGTCTAATCTAATATAGGTACTAATATACATATTTATAGCTGAAGAGTTCGTTTGTTTGTGCTAATCTGCAGAACTACTGTTTCGAATTTAATATTTCCATTTGTGTTGGATAGTTCATTTATCGAGGAACGCTATAGGCTATAAAACATCACGCTGCGATCAATAGGAGCTGAGCAGAGCTGGTGAAACCGCGTGAAAGTAAATACTTAATATTTTCAAACGTTCCCACTACGAAAAGTATAATCAGCGCCAATCTATTGTACAGAATTTAATCCCTTAGTTATGACTAATATTAAAGAGAATATTTTCGATTAGATATAGGATATCGTGATTTCCATATAATCGCGATTATTAAAATATTTTGACTAATACAATATCGATTTACAATCTAGTAGTTAGGACTGTTTAAGTACAGATATGCTTTAATATCACGTAGGCATAGATTCATTAGAAGTAGGCAGTAGGTAATTAAAAATAGTATTTTCGATACTATTTTTAATTACCTACCATTCTTAATTCATTCTGTATCCTGCAGGTCACCGAGGGAAGTGGAAACTATCGTTTTTTTCTTCTCTTATAATATTATTTCTTATAATAAGATTAAGTGTGGGAGAGCCATGCTTCGGCGCGAATAGGTCGGCTCGACCGGAATGATACCACGGCCGAGCAGAAAACCGACGTGAAGCAACGCTTGCGTTGTGTTTCGTCGTGTGAGTGAGGTTACCGGAGGCCCAATTACCCTCCCCTTCCCCAATCTCTCCAATCCCTGAATCCCTCAGGCTTACCATCAGGTGATCCGTAAGTTCGTTTACCGGTTTATGCCATAAAAAAACTTCTGATTCATTTTGTTGTGGGAACCAACACAGTTAATAATGTCCCTGAGACGTACCGGACTTCAGTGTTCCGGTGTTTTCATGGTTATATCTACTGGAGACCCTGGTTTACAGAAGTTGCAGCGGTTTTGGGAGGATGTGGTGGGCATGGCCCATAAAAAAATACCAGTTTTAGGAACCTCATTATTATTAGGCTTTCCGGTCGAGTGAATCCGTGGGATTAAAAGTAGCCTATATGTTATTCCCGACCATACTCTGTGGTTCGAAGCTAGTATAGGTTTTCTCAGTATTTATTGTAAATAGTTAAACTTATAAATATATTCCTTTATCTTATCAGTGTAGCAAAACAATTTTATGAGCTATATTACTATAGTAGGGTGTTCCTGGTCTATGGTCCACATATAATAATAGATATTAACTATTATATAATTTCATCAAACTCTGTCTGTGGACCATGGACAAGACTTCATTTTTTTCATTTCTCTTTAGAATAGGAACCTTGATAGATTCTTTGAACCTTGGCATTTTTAATTTATATTACCTATATCTCTAATATTTCTGTTGTACCTACCTTGGTTTACCCTTGCTTTATATTATTTAATTTATTTTTTTAGTTTTTTATTATGTTACGTGTGTTCTGCGCAAGAATAAATGGTTTTTCCTTCTTTCTTTCTTTCTTCAGTATTTTCATGTGTGTATACATTTTGTTGGTAGTGGCGACTGGTTACTTTGCCATGGTGTCCTGGAGATATACAGCCCTAAGTCAGCTCTTAAGATACTACTATGAAAAGACGTATTTCATGTATTCAAGATCACTTCTAGCCACAAAAGAGTTACAAATAAATATATCACTCTAGCTGACCCGGCAAACTTCGTACCGCCTCAATTATTATTTTTTTACCTGACTGATTACTCACCTTTTAAACCTTCCCTGGACTTCCACGATTATTTCAAGAGCAAAATTAGCCAAATCGGTTCAGCCGTTCTCGAGTTTTAGCGAGACTAACGAACGGAAACTCATTTTTATTTATATAGATTATTTTCTACTTACAACTTAAATTGGGAAGTTGTTGCGTAGACTTACCTTTCGATTTTCGCTGTAGATAAACAATGTTAATTATTTGTAACTATAAGCATGATACAACACTAAACAAGCCAGTCAGCTAATTTTGCTAAACAACAAAATACTTTAAATATTTTTTGCTTAAGCTTCACGGAAAATTACGGTCGCTTCTATTGTTTGCCTGTAAAACAACGTTTGGGTTACCAGGGCCGTATTTAGAAACAAAGAAGAATAGGAAGAAGGAAGAATGAAAAATAATTTAATTTATACGCCATTAGGTATGGTGCACCAAATACATAATCAAAAAGAGTATTAAAACGAATTTTTATAATATAAAAATGAATCGCAAAATGTGTTGGTAAGCGCATAACTCAACAAAGCCTGGACCAATTTGGACAATTTGTTTTAAATGTTCGTTGTAGTTCAAGGATGGTTTCTACCGCGAGAAAAATTGGAACTTTTTTTGACAGGACGACGTCTGTCGGGTCTGGTAATAAAAAAGTAAAAAAAAGAAATGCTTTAGATTAGATGATCACTTATTGGCCCAACAGTTTTAAGCCGGGGCTACGGGATTGCCACGATGATGAGTGTGAGTTGTGACATAGGTCCCTGTGGTAGTGTTATGTTTGAGCCTGAGCCTGATTGTTTCCGTTTATCGCCGTTTAATTTAATTTGGAAATCACTACAGAGTTTGACAAGGTTGGGATTTTCAGAAAACTGTTTAAAAAAATGTGTCTGTCGTTCTGGTCGGTTGTGTCTGTCGTGTCGGTCGTGTCCGTCGTGTCCGTCGTGTCTGTCGTGTCTGTCGTGTCTCTCGTGTCTGTTGTTAGTCGTGTCGGTCGCATCAGTCGTGTCGGTCGTATCTGTCGTGTCTGTCGTATATGTCGTGTCGGTCGTATCTGTCGTGTCTGTCGTATATGTCGTGTCGGTCGTATTTGTCGTGTCGGTCGCATCAGTCGTGTCGGTCGTATCTGTCGTGTCTGTCGTATATGTCGTGTCGGTCGTATCTGTCGTGTCTGTCGTATATGTCGTGTCGGTCGTATTTGTCGTGTCGGTCGTATCCGTCGTGTCTGTCGTATATGTCGTGTCGGTCGTATCTGTCGTATCTGCCGCATCGGTCGTGTCGGACGCATCGGTCGTATCTGTCGTATCTGTCGTGTCGGTAGTATCTATCTCGCATAGGTCGTATCTGTCGTATTTGTCGTGTCGGTCGTATTTGTCGTGTCGGTCGTATCTGTAGTATCTGTCGTGTCGGTCGTATCTGTAGTATCTGTCGTGTCGGTCGTATCTGTCATATTTGTCGTGTCGGTCGTATCTGTAGTATCTGTCGTGTCGGTCGTATCTGTCGTATCTGTCGTATCAGTCGTGTCGGTCGTATCTGTCGTATTTGTCAAGTCGGTCGTGTCGGTCGTATCTGTCGCATCGGTCGTGTCGGTCGTATCTGTCGTGTCGGTCTTATCTGTCGTGGCGATCGTATCTGTAGTATCTGTCGTGGCGGTCGTATCTGTCGCATCGGTCGTGTCGGTCGTATCTGTCGCATCGGTCGTGTCGGTCGTATCTGTCGTGTCGGTCTTATCTGTCGTGGCGATCGTATCTGTAGTATCTGTCGTGGCGGTCGTATCTGTCGTATCTGTCGCATCGGTCGTGTCGGTCGTATCGATTGTGGCTGTCGTGTGATCACACGACACGACCTGAAATATTAAGGCCTGGTTTGTACCGGAGCGGTGGCGTGATATTTTAATTGAAAAATTTATTGTGGTAGAACTGTAATAGGTAGATTTTTACGTTGATATGAATGTCCTCTATAAGACTACTACATCACTTTGCTCTATTGTCGATAATTTCCACAGCGGAAGCAATATAAGAAGTTTTGTTGTAGTTTATCCTCATTACATTGCCACATTACATTACCGTCCCATTTCTTACTGGCCTAAATACGGCCCTGTTGCCATCCAATTTGTATCGGTATTACATAAAGGCTAAAGGACAATATTCGATGTGTCAGCAGATTTGATAATGTTGTATACTTTAGTATAAGCTGCTGAAGTTGGGTTTTAAGGTGCTCCCTCATCGGGAGCATTCGCTTGTTATGTAACATTACAGACCTGAACATTACATCAGTGAAGGAGGAGAACCGAGCATTACAATGCGCACCTTGTAACGATACAATGTGTAATATCTTGATACAACTTGTAACATCAATGTTTGACATCTTGCTATGAAATGCTAAAAGTCGAATCTATATGTTACGGGAAAACTAAGTGTTAAATAGGAATAACATAATAGGTATCGTCAAAACGTAAGTTGCCACATTATTATAATATAAACAAATCAATGGCACAGCCCAATCTCCCCAATCCCCGAATCCCCAAAAGTACTCAAATTCCTAAACCCCAAAATACCAGCAATACATACTTGTAACGTTTCTGGTGTTCCGGGTGTCCATGGGCGACGCCGATTGGTTAACATCAAGTGATCCATCTGATCGTTCACAGGCTTATCCCACAAAAAAAAATATAGTGCTGATATCTGTAAGGAAAGGAACTCATGGTGATGACATAATATGACAAAAATGTGTAATATACATCTTCATAATGATGTTATATGTTGATAATATTGTTCATGTAATATCATTTAGCGTGGGCGAAGGGTCAAGGGCAGTCGGGGCGCTAGACACGTCTGCGGTCTAGTCGCGATGTGGCTAAACATCGTGACGTCATCGCCTGATTGAAAGGATGTAGCGATAATATGTAAATAGTCTTATTTGTATTTTGAATCTATAATAACTTAGCTATAGGTAATAAAATTAATTTATTTCCTATATTTATTTTTCTGTTGTATTTTGAGGGATTTTCGATAAATACGTAACTTTTTTTATGTAATTTGATATTTGTCCTAGCCTTTTAGTAAATAGGAGAGCCATGTTTTTTTAAACAACTATTGTGAGACATAGGTACTGAATTAACTAAAAACTACGAGTTATTATGTTTTCCACGAACCTTTCAACACCAAAATATAACCAAATCGGTTCATGCGTTCTCGAGTTTTAGCGAGACTAACGAACGGAATATCATTTTTATTTATATAGATAGATTTGAAATAGGTTAATAATAGATGAAAATAAGTACTATAAAATAACCACTTTCCTTAATGTACCTAAGTACCTTTTCTAATATTTCCACAGATATATTAATCCGTGAACTGGGGGATAAATGAGCAGAGATACCTATCACTTTATGGTAAACTAGCTTCTCCCAGCGGTTTTGCTTGCGTTTTTGCAGGATAAAAATTAGCTTATGTGTTATTCCAGACCCTAAACTACCTCTGTCCCAAATTTCATCTCGATCCCTTAAGCGATTTAACGGGAAGGAGCAACAAACAAACATACATACTTTAGTAGGATAATCATCGTCACCTATCCATGGACAACCACAACATCACATGAATTAACATTACCATAGCACTTTATACGTTTTTTTTTATAATATTATAGATTAATTCTCCACGGACTCTAGGTCCGTGCCCTTGTCATACAATTTGCAGCACTTTATAGGTTACTCATCATCATCATCACCAACAGCCTATAAATGCCCACTGCTAAGCAAAGCCTCTTCTCACACAGAGAAGGTTTGAGCATTAATCACCACGCTTGCTCAAAGCTGGTTGGCGATTACAGACTTAAAATTAGAAATTATAAGCCTAGGTTCCTTCACGATGTTTTCCTTCACCTTTTGTCAGTGGTGTCTGAATAATCTTAGAAAGTACATACATATAACTTGGAAAAAGTCACATTGGTACTTGCCGTTGGTAGGTTTCGAACCCCACCCTCATGCATGAGGAGATCTTAAACCTCCGGGCCTCTAAGACATTTTTACTTGTTACTATTACAGTTTATTTATTTTTAATAATAATATGTTTCATAATTATGTATGTAATATGTAGTAAATTTAAAATAATTCTCAGTAGTAGCACGGAGTCTGGTTGTGCGCGGTATATGGCAATAGGCTCACCCCCTATTACATGGGACTCATAACATAAATAGTAAAAAATGTAACAACATTGTACAGTGGCATAATGTGCACCTCTGCCTATCCGTTCGGGGATAAAAGGCGTGATGTAATGTTATGTTCCTATTACTGATCCTTGCAAAATAGGGAAATGTTCGAAGCGTTTATTTATTAACAGGTCCATAAAATACTTTCGTGTCATTGACATGCGATCGTGAAACATAATAACAAGTTCCAAGGTCGTATGCGCAACTTTCGACAGGCTACAGCACTGGCTAGACTGTTTGATGCCAAGAAATCGAAGGTTTACAAGTATTGCTTTGTTTAATAATTATTTTTATAGGTGGCGAGACATTGGAAAGTTCTGACAAGAAGTTTGACGATAATATAAGCCAAGATCAATGTGCAATTTGTGTATATAAGTTACTCGAGAAGGAAAGCGCTTTTGTTAAACTATGGGTTTTGCGGCAAATTGGAGATAACAGTTTATCAGAAATGCCCTGACTTCCTGAACTGCCCTTACCGTCGAATTCAATAACGAATCTTAGTCCAATATCTCTGGAGCGATTTAAGTTTTTCACGAAAATTATACTTTTTTTGGAATAAGCCGGTAAACGAGCAGACAGATCACCTGACGGTAAGCAATCGGCGTCGGACATGTACACCCAAGACACCAGATGTATTACAAGTACGCTACCGGCCTTTGGAGGATTAGCAGTTTGAAGATTAATGGGGAATCGGGAATTGGGGAGATTGGGGATTGGAGACTCACACGACGAAACACAAGGCAAGTATTGTTTCACGTCGGTTATCTATGAGGCCGTGGTATCACTCCGGTCGAGCCGGCCCATTCGTGACGAAGCATGGCTCTCTCATGCTTAGAACTAATCATACATACATACAGAACCTCACGCTTGTCTCCAATGGAGGCAGCAGAGACTATGGAACGCCAATTGCTACGATTGTTATTACCTCTTTCGCTTCATCAACAGTCATCAGTGTTTTCATGCATGCTCGTCGGTTAAGGATACTTTTAATTAGAACTAATCTTAATATTCATATTGGTTTTTAATATTCTGTCCTACGAATTACAACACACACGGAACAATAGGGTAGATGCCTAATTTTGTTTTAATATCCGTCTGGTACATTATTTGAAATCATTAGACACGTATTTTTTATTTTCTTACAGAAACGAATACTTTCGACGATATATTGATTTGAAATGTCGCGTGACGTCACTTCTATGTACATTTTATACGTAGAAATGACGTTTTAGCCCCCACTCCTAAACTTAAATTCGTTTTATCTAAGTATTGTTTTATTATACGACAAAATAAAAAAATACGTGTCTAACATTTTTCCATTACGTAACTTACGGACCAATTAGATTTTTAATTTTCATACCCTGTCATCATCCCAATTACAGTAGACTTAAGAGAAAAATATTATGTAGCTATTGCAAGTAGATATGTTGTATCTATCCATTGTTCTTTACGGCCCCTGGTTGATAATGACCAGCATTTTGAACTACCAGTCAAAAGTTCATGGTCTATGGTCATGGACGGACTAGACAATGCCGTGTAACTCGTTTGTCTATGACTGTTTTTTCTATACACAGTTTTTTATTAGAGTAAATCATTTGTGTAATGATTACTAGGAATTGTTCTTTGAGGAAAAATAATCGAAAGATTGATATTTATGAAGTTTTGTTTTGGGTGTTTAATTACCAAAAACCTAACAACGGCGTAATTTACATTTATTTATTTATTTATTTTTTATTTATTTATCTATTTAATGCCACAATAACCACCAATACAGACTAATCCAATACGATAGATAGTGTGGCCATCAGTCTTACAAATACTTATAATTAATTAGCGACCCGCCCCAGCTTCGCACGGGTGCAATATGCATGTATTATACATATAAAACTTCCCTAAGAATCACTCTATCGATTAAAAAAAACCGCATCAAAATCCATTGCGCAGTTTTAAAGATCTAAGCATACATAGGGACAGACAGACGGCGCATAGCGACTTTGTTTTATACTCTGATGATGATGAAGTGATTTACCGTCAGGTGATCCGTCAGCCCGTTGGCACCGCAAGCGGTGACCGAGCCACTGCACTAACCATAGATAAAATATTTCTGTGGCACTAACAATGCAGTCAATGACATTTCCGTAAGTAAAACATGTTTTCATGGTAGCCCTTAGGTTTAAGACGCTCGCTTCTCATGCATGGGAGTACGAGCTCAATACTTACCAACGGCAAGTACCAATGTGACTTTTCCCGAGTTACATGTACTTTCTAAGATTATCTAGACACCACTTACAACTTAAGGAAAATATAGTGTAGAAACCTGGGCTCATAATTTCTAATTTTGAGTTTGAAATCACCAACCCGTATTGAGCAAGCGTGGTGATTAATGCACAAACCTTCTCCGTGTGAGAAGAGGATTTTGATCAGCAGTACACATATAGGCTGTTAACGAAGTAAAACACGTCCCACAGATCTGGCAATCACTACAACTTAATTACCTTGACAATTTTCCTGACTTACTGAATATAGATGCGAACCTTGGTATGCTGCATAAAAGTGCATTTAATTATCAACGTGCATACTTAATTTCAACTAACGTATTTTTTCCTAGAATACAATCCAATGATAATATTTCTTCAAGTGTGGGAGAGCCATGCTTCGGCACGAATGGGCCGGCTCGACCGGAGTGATACTACGGCCTTACAGAAAACCGACGTGAAGCAACGCTTGCGTTGTGTTTCATCGTATGAGTGAGGTTACCGGAGGCCTAATTACCCTCCCCTTCCCCAATCTCCCCAATCCCTGAATCCCCCAACGATCCTCAAACTCCTAATCCCCAAAAAACCGGTAACGCATTTGTAACGCCTCTGGTGTTCCAGGTGTTCATGGGCGACGCCGATTGCTTACCATCAGGTGCCTGCTCGTTTACTGGCTTATGCCATAAAAAAAAAGATACGGTGGTAAATAAGCAGACGGATCACCTAATAGTAAGCCATCGCCGCTACTCATGGACATTCGTGACACCGAAAAGTTAAAAATGTATAGGAACTGAATATTCGTTTTCTTTTTTATCTGTGCCATGATAATATTCACATGTCCCCATATAACTCAGTTAACCACTCGTGTCTCCGAAAGCACGTAAAGCCGTCATACAGAAGCATGGCTCTCCCACACTTAACAACAATAATTTATAGATCACACACAACAATAATGTTACGTACAGAAATCGATTTCCATTGTCGTCATATTTACTAAATCTTCCGCGCAGTTTAGCTATAAACAGTTTCCTCATCATTATAAAGTATTCTATAGATAGGTAGTCTGTCTGTGGGTTTCCTCCTAATCGGCTAAATCGTTATTGACAAATATTTTCCTATCATTTAGCGAATATATCATCATCAACAGCATTAATCACCACGCTTGCTCAATGCGGGTTGGCGATTTCAAACTAATAATTAGAAATTATAAGTCCAGGTTTCCTCACAATGTTTTCCTTCACCGTTTGTCAGTGGTGTCTAAATAATCTTAGAAAGTACATATATTAAAGACAAGAGATCTCGGGTTCGATTCCCGGGTCGAGCAAAGTACTACTGGGGTTTAAAAATTTTCAGTAGTAGCACGGAGTCTGGAATTGTGCCCGGTATATGGCAATAGGCTCACCCCCTATTACATGGGACTCATAACATAAATAGTGAAAAGTGGGTGTTACATTGTACAGTGGCATAATGTGTACCTCTGCCTACCCCTTCAGGGATAAAAAGCGTGATGTTATGTTATGTACATATAACTCGGAAAAAGTGACATTGGTACTTGCCGTTGGTAGGTTTCGAACCCGCACCCTCATGTATGAGAAGCGGGCGTTTTAACCTCCGGGCCACCACGACTTTATAGTAGTAAAAGCGAATATATAGTGATTTTCAGAATGAATTTCTATCGTGACATTTGTCATAACTTTGTTGTACAACACACGGCAGCAATCCTTTACCAAATCGTTCAAGGCTAAGTAACGTCACATTACATGTAATGTAGGTATCTAACATGACGTCAATCATGTAAAGAATTAAATAATGCAGTTTGTTGTAGTGCCAACCTTCGCTGTATCGTATGTAATATATAATTAAGTGTTATTTTGTAAAGGAAATACACTATATCACTACATAGTATAAAACGAAGTCGCTATCCGCCGTCTGTCTGTCCCTATATATGCTTAGATCTTTAAAACTACGCAACGGATTTTGATGCTTTTTTTTAATAGATATAGTGAAGTCAAAGCATTTATTTCAATTAAACCATAGTTTGGTACTTTTGAAACGTCAACAAATACAAAATAAATAATAGTCTGTCAGTCAGTCCGTCAGTGAAACTAGGTGAAGCTAGGTGCTCATTCCAAAAAGTAGATTCGAATGGAGAAGAACGAGCAAGAAACTCCATTCGTTACTCTTTTTATAAAAGTATGTTCTACAATGTCTCTGATACATATTTCAATACTGATTCTTAAGGAAGGTTTATATGTATAATACATGTATATTGCACTCGTGGGAAGCCGGGGCGGTTTGCTAGTGTATAATAATTTACAAGTACAAACGCAACCTACTTCAATTTGTTCAATTTTTTTAAAGGAGTTTCAACTCTATACTTTTGACGGAAGGTTGACAATCTATTAAAGTTGCCGATGGGGATAAAATACCCAGTAGTACTTTGCCCGACCCGGGAATCGAACCCGAGACCTCTGCACGTGCGAGCCCGGCAGTCACACATGCGATCACTCGGCCAACGAGGCAGCCAAAGGCAAATAAATAATTATTCTGTTCTATTCTATTCTAAAGTATATTTTTTTTACGGGGGAAAATCATCGAATGACTGCTCCCGCCTGGGGAGGCGGAAGGGAGTGTCAGACTCTTACTGACTAAAAACCACCCCGTTCCTTCTGCACGTCGAGCCGGAGCCCCGGTTACCCGTTAGGTTCTCCGCAACTATTCTAAAGTATAGGTTCCTAATTCATGTAATTAGTAAAGTGAGCAATACCACCTTCGTAACTGATATACTAACTAATATACATAGCTAGTGAAAAGTGGGTTGCATTTATACGAGTGCATTTTTGCCATCACTTCGCGGAATAAAAAGGTGTGTGTGACGTCACCTTCCGTTCAACAAGGAAAAAAGTTAAAACAAAGTATGTAATATATTGAGGGCTTAGTGCGAATTTATTTTACGAATAACGAGATCAATACAACACCGCGTTCACCGCTCTGATTGGCCGGCTTTAATCAATCAACCAATAAGAGCGCCGAATGCGGTCTCGTTTCGATTTCGTACCAAGCATTTCGAAGTGTGGGAGAGCCATGCTTCGGCACGAATGGACCGGCTCGACCGAAGTGATACCACGGCCTCACAGAAAACCGACGTGAAGTAACGTTTGCGTTGTGTTTCGTCGTGTGAGTTAGGTTGCCGGAGGCCCAATTTCCCTCCCCTTCCCCAATCTCCCCAATCCCTCCAACGATCCTCAAACTCCTAATACCCAAAAGGCTGGTAACACACTTGTAACGCCTCTGGTGTTCCAGGTGTCCATGGGCGGCGCCGATTGCTTACCATCAGGTGATCCGTCTGCTCGTTTACCGGCTTATACCACAAAAAACCTCTGATAGAACGAAATCACTCGTAAAACAAACTCGTACTAGGCCCTTTACATGCAGGTAGATGACATCTTTACCGTGTTAGGAAATACCAGTACGCAGTATGACCAACTTTTCCAATGAATGTACGGTATAAGTACATACGATATTACCCACATAAGTACCTACCCACGCATATAAATGTAAACTTGTATGCACACAGAAACAGATTTTCCATAAGGAAAATCTATATCTAGTTATGTGTTTAAAACTGTTGAAGTTTAAATTCTATACATTGAAAACATTACTAAAAAAAATTGTGGGGCGTGTTACTAGATATAGGACCGAATCCAAAAATTGTATTAAAAAATGTTTGTCTGTCTGTGTGTCTGTATGTTCACGCATTACACAAAAACTATCGGTCCGATTATTGATTGATATGAAATTTGGTACACTTATACTTTAACAACCTGGGCAAGTATATACAATCCACGAAAAAACAAACTTAATTGTGCGGCTCAATCCGTAGACACAGTTACTGTACCAAACGCAAATATAAGTTTTTTTATAGCATAAGCCGGTAAACGAGCAGACGTTTGTCGAATGTTAGGTTGCCTGCAGTGGAATTTACGCTGGAACTGTAGAGCCGAAGGTTGAAATTAGCTTGACCCGACATTATAAATGTAAAAATATGTGACTTTGTATGTATGTTTGTTACTCAGTCACATCAAGCTGAAGGGATCGGGATGAAATTTGGGATATAGGTAGATTATGGTTACTTTTTACCCCTTGGATCGCGGGCGAAGCCGCTGGCAGAAGCTAGTTAGTAATAATATTATTTACCAGTGACCGATTTCCGAAAGATTCTCCTATTGCGAATGAGTCAATTATAAGTATCGTTACCCTGCATTGGGATTTTTCCCTGTATAGGTACCGTGGCGTGGGTGTCAAAAAATACAGTATTCCACGCTATTTTAATACATAATACGTCACATTCATACTAGAAATAACAGATCAGACAGACGGATAAGATGCGAGAATTGACGCCACAATTGAACAAGATCAAGCAGCCAGCTCTCTGTGAAATAATGTACAATTTTTATACATGTAAAGAAATAATATAGATTTATTTATTTGAACGTGATCTAAGAGATGACGTTTATATGTTATCTGTTATCGGTATTTAAATAAAATAACCTAGAAGTTACACCGCTCACGTAATGGTTGAAAAGAACAATAACTTATTAAAGTTATTGTTAATTAATATTAATTAATTTCATTATTTAAGTATTATAATTGTGATTAGGAACTGGCATTGTTAATAATAAAATTAAATGTCGTTTTATAAGATATTTCAGAAATATCTTATAATCTAGGTTTTTTTTTTCTTTTGGCAACGGAGTCTCCAATACAGTGTTGTCGACTATACTGTTATTTATTTATATACCGATGACAGATGACATATAAATGTCATCTATTAGATCACGTTCAAATAAAGAAATCTATATGATTTCTTTACATACAAGCACTTGAATTTCTGCGCTGTAGAGTTTTAAGGAGGCCATGATATGTATAGTATGTATATAAGGAACTTAGCTAATCTTTATTTCCCTACCATTTACCCCAACTTACTTGGTAAAGTGCAAACGAGCACACGGATCACCAGAGGGCTTATACGGCGCTCTGATTGGCCCTTTTTTTGACCCCAAGGTGGGAAATTCTCACGGAGCCCCCTCGCCTGGGGAGCACGAAAGGGACTGTCAAATTCTTACTGACTAAAACCCTACCGGATGTCCCGTCTCACACGTGGGTACGAGGGTGCGGGAGTCACATTCTTCCGCAGCCCCCGAACTCGTAGCGGCGTGCCTGCTCTGATTGGCCTGCTACAATGAACAAACCAACCGAACGCAGTCTCGTTTCGATATCCATAAACGTAATATAAACTTGTTCTAAACCTTTTGATGATCAGCTCCACCTATGGACACTCTCTATTCCTCGAGGAGAGTCGCGGAGAACCTAACGGGTTACCTGGGCTCCGTCTCGACGTGCAAGAGAAGGAACGGGGTGGTTTTTAGTCAGTAAGAGTCTGACACTCCCTCCCGCCTCACCCAGGCGGGAGCAGCCATTCGATGATTTTCCACCCGTAAAAAAAAATCCTCGAGGAGATTTGCTAGTGCGTTGGTTCCAGGGGTTGGTCTTGGCCCCAACTCTTCTCTCTTCCCTATGGAATCCTACAACATAACCTAACTAGATATAAACACTACATTATTAAGTTGTTCGAAGCCTAAAAAGCTCAAGGAAACAGGTTTACCAGCCTCTTGTATTATATTTATAGTATATTTTGGCGGTCAGGTACTCAAGGAGGTCTAAAATTACGATCACGTGAAGACTGCGCACCGTGGTCGTGGTCGTGACAAAAACTGGAGCCATTTCAAAAACCTGTCCGTTGCGTTGCGTAATTGTTCTTTTTTTTTGTCAATGTAATAAACTGATGATGATGATTTTGTATTAACAACGTCATTGAGAATATTTGTATTATAACTTTCTTGAGACATAATTACTAAATTAATTATGAGTATATCTTTCGGCTTACTTCAGCGTAACTGTTTTATGACGAAATAGGGTAGTTTCCTATTATAGCGGTACAAAACCTCCATACAAAACTGCCATTCTCCTTTATTTT